GGAACAGATGGATGAGGGAACAGATGGATGAGGGAGAGCAGATGGGTGAGGGAAAACAGGGAGATGAGCCAGATGAAAGAAGTACGCTTTAGTCTGTTCTGTTGGCGATGTGACTTTTTTCCATTGAAAACTCATGTTTAGAGAATGTTACAAATAAAAGTCAAATTTCATTCAACATGCATGTATTTTTTTTATAATTAAGTGTTCCACGTGCGCTAAAAAGTGCCCTCCCCCCCCCTCCTGAGCACCTGCCCCCCAAAATGTCTGTGCACGCCTCTGTAAAGAAGTCTGCTCAAGTAATGCCACATGACTTTATTTACACTGTGTGTCTTTTATTAAAAAAAAAAAGGCAGAGGGTGCTGGTCATTCGTATTGAGTCCCCTTTATTCTGATGCCCCAGAATAAAACTTAATCTACCTTTTTATGAATATGAAGAGCCAATGATGAACACTTCCCCCTTACCAGACTAGTCAGGATTGAAGATGTAAAGATGTTTTGACTGTTTCCCAAAGGTTTGAATGTTTCACTTAGCATCAATATAAGAAGCAGGCATGAAAGATCTGTTGCAGAGAGCCACATTTTAATCTGCCACTCTGCAAATCTGGCATTTATAAAGCAAGGCAAGCTTAACTGAAAAAAAAAAAATGTTTAAAAGAAAACTTGAGACTATAAGAAGGAAAACATGCATTGTCATGCAATAAAGGCAGGTATAGAAAAATTAGACCAGAGTAAAATCAGATATTTGGGTTAACAATTGAAACAGTACAGTACTATTACTGTTGCAAAACATTTTAAAGCAACAGTAGCTGTAACAACGTGATGCACTGGGAAAATTACAAAAACATATAAAGAAGCATTAAGAACAGGCGATTAAACACAACAAGACCATTGAAACCAGAAAAAAATGTGACAAGTCTCAGGCTGTTACAAAAACTAAGGGGAAAAATGCATTAACTGCTAACATCTCTAAAGTTCTCATCAAGAAAACCCTAATTATTCATCCATTTTAAAGTATCTATTTCTTGAAATAAGCACAAAATTAAAATTGAAGAATCTATTATGGTAAAAACACCACATTATGTAAGCTTAGAGTTAAGAAATCACATATTCAGAACGAGTAAAAACAGGAAGGTAAATAAAACCACTGAATTTATGACGGAAATAAGGCTGACTATTGATTTATGAGGCTTTAAGTGATTATTTTGCTGTCAAATTTGTTTAACAAACGGGAAACTGTGAAGTGCCTTGAGATGACATGTGTTGTGAATTTGGCGCTATATAAATAAACTGAATTGAATTGAATTGAATTGAAACAATGGGCAACACTTAGGATTTTATCTGCAGGTGACATCTTGGTGCCAGATGCTACTTTGCAAGTTATTTTGCCCCCACCATGGGGCACTAGAGACGAAGAAGAATAAATCA